GGTCAGACCACGATAAGGGAGTTGGAGTTGAGTCATGCCTGCCCTAACTCCCAGCCTGGTCCTGAGAGGGTGAGGGAAGGCATAGGAGTAGCAGGGGGATAATGGTGGCAAAGAACAAGGTTAGTTCCCTGGCCTGGCCTGAGAACTTTGCTACCCTCCTCCATCATGTTTTATGAAACAGCAACAACACACCCCCTCCCAGGGAACTCCTCCTCCCTCAATACATTCCTGAGATGCATTCCAGAGAAGTTGGGCAATTGGAAGCAGGGAATGGAGGACAGGAGGTCAAATCCCAGCAAGGAATGGAATGTAAGTATATTGGGGCTAAGGAATTTTGGGGCATACGGAGAATATAGTCAGAGTACGTACCCACAAAGAGAACTGCAGAAAGATGGGGAGTTATAGAGAGGGTCAAAGGGAGAGAGAGAAAACAGAGTCAGAATATGAGAGGGTTGGGGGAGTAGCACTCAAGACTGTTACCAAATTTGGCCTCTGAGTCCGAAACCGCGGGGATGGGGGAAGGGTTTGTGGGTGAGACTGACATATCCGGCCTCAGGCTGCTAAAAGCTCATTTAAGGCTGGACTGGGCAGAAGGGCTGGACCTGACTTCTCCAATGCAGCCCTCCCACATTTACATTCATTCTCCCCTAATGTGCCCCAGCCTACACACAGGGCTTTCTTAAGGTAGCAGTGCCATCTCTACATACACCTTATCTCCGTGATGGCAACCCAAAACCCACTTATTAATCACAAAGAGCCAATACTGTAATTAAACTTGAATACTCAGGTTTCAATTTAGAAAAAAAAAAAACAAAAACCTAAAAAACAACTTTATGTTAACATCTTTTTCTTAAACACACACACATACACACACACACAATAACACAACACTGGGGCCGGGGAGATGGCTCAGTAAGGATAAGTGCTTGCCTGGCAAGCACAAGGGCCTAAATTCAATCCCCGGTTCCACAAAAAAAAAAAAAAACCAAAAACAAAACAAAACAAAAAAAACCACCACCCACGCCTTAGGTTCACCACTATTGCCTTATCTTAATCACAAAGCCCCTACACAGATCATCTTGCAAAAATCACCCCCTCCCAGCTGCCCCACAAATATAGCCATCACAAGCACACCAAGGCTTCCCACCTCCCTCTACCCTCCCTACAGTTCCCCCTCCATTTACTCAGCCAGCAGTCCTTGAGGGTATATGGCTTGGGCCCAACTTTCAGCAGCCCAGAAGCACAATGAATAAGATCTGGACTTGGCCTTCATTGAGCTCCCAATCTTCCAGGGAGGTGGATAAATTAAATACAGAGTTACAATAATAGAGAACAGGATACAACAAAAGCCAAAGAGCATGATAAAAGCTCAGAGATCCCTTTAGGTTAGGAAAGCAGGACCATGAAAGGTGTCATTTAAAGTCAGAATTTTAAAAAAAGTAATGGCTATCTGTCTTTTATTGACTATATGTCAGTTGCGTTTTACACATAATTTGTTAATCCTTTTAAAAAAACTCTGCATGGTAGATGTCACTTATTTTCTTTCTTACAAATTAGGAAACTGAGATTTATGAAAATACTTGTTCAACGTAATTGTCCAAATAAGCCAGGATCTGAACCTGGGTCTCTGGCTGCAAAGCCCAAGTGCTCTCTATCATGCCAATCCAGTCAAAGGCACATTCCAGGCAGAGAAAGTAGCATAAACAAAGGTGGAGAAGCAAGTCATGGAGAAGCACTCATGGGGCTGGATGAAGTACAGGGGACCTGCACAGCAGTTATGGGGAAGTCAGGTTTAGGATGGCAAGGCAGAGTGGATCTAGAGTGGGGTAGTATCAGTTTTTCCCACTGGAAGGTGACAGGAGGCCAAGGAGAGAAGGAACATAACCCAAACTGAATTTTAGGAACATAACTGTGGAGACTGTTCAAAAGTACACTGTATTAGTCCAGGTAAGAGGTAAGAAAGGTAGAGTTAGATTAGAGAAAAACCAGCCCCTCAAGTGCCTGCTTAGGCTGATGCAGGGACAGGGTTCGATCCCCGGTGGGTCCTGCTGGCCCCGTCCCCAGGGCACACTGAGACATCGACTGAGACTGGGCATGGTGGTGCACGCCTATAATCCCAGCACTTAGTAGGCTGAAAACAGGAGGATCACTCTAGTCCCATCTGTGTAGTGAGACTCCGGAGACCCTGTACTAAATGCATAAAAAAAAAAAAGCAGCTCCTCAGAAGAAACGTTAAGAGGTAGACTGACAGCCTGATGACAACCTGTTCTTCAATACCCAGGGACCAGAGCCCAGTCAGGCTGGGGTCCTACACCTTCTGATAATCAGTGGCCACTAGTCAGAAGGGCAGCTCACGCTCAGGTAAGGAAATGGGGAAGGAAGAAGGATCAGATTGAGATGGAAACGTGGGGCTGAGATGATGAGAAAACGGGAAGGGAAGTAATTACCAGTGAAGTAAGGGCAGACAGGTGGGGTTAGTGACTACATCAGAGTAGGAATGGGGAAAACGGTATAAAACAAGCCTGGGGAAAATCCACACATAAGCAGTCACTGGATCAAGTTGGGGGAAAGGGAGGACTCAATAGTAGCTAAGTCAGGGAATGATGGACTGAGACCAGAGAGTAGGTGAGATTTTGATTTTAAAAAATGGGGATATGGTAAGTGGCTAAATTAGGCTATGGTGGGGAGGAGTGAAGGGACATCTGCAAAATCTAAGTAAAGCTGGGGGAGGGACAACATGAGCTATTCAAAGGCTGATTTAGAGACTGGGTAGAAGATAGCAGTGGGGGTCAGTGGTAAGGTCAGCCTGGGAGTGAAATGGGGGTGTGGTCAGTGGCCTGGTTGGGTGTGGGATCAGCAAGACCCAGTTTCCTCTTTGGGTCCCATTTCCTCTTTTCTCTTCGGGAGTGGGGGAAGGGGAATCTACAACTGGACTAAGAAATTAAAGGCTCAGAACCAGGGGATCCACGTAACGGGGTGGGGGGTCAACCACGACCACATGGTATGCAGTGAATGAGTGAAAATGGTGGGAAAGAGTGTTTTAAGATACTGAAACCTCAGATTTGGGTAACAGTAAGTTAAAATAGGATGTGTGACAAGGTTTGGAAAAGAATACAGCAAGGAGGATGGAATGAAGGTGAACAGGGGAGAGTTAAAGAGCAAGAACATATTCTGTAAGGAAATATGAAGGAAAGGTGGGCAATGAACCAAGAATAGGCATAGAAGAGGAGGGCTTAATACCTAGACAACGAGAAAAAAGGGAAGGAGTGGGGTAAACTGTCAGGGGACTCAGTCATTCCCTTCTCCCTTGACAACAGGTCCCTTTGACTGCCTCCCCCAGGTCCACTCTTCCCCAGGCAGTCCTCCACTTATATACATCTTGTATATCTTGTACATCTCCTAGGTTCCTGTACATTTTCCACCTCTCATCTTGTAAACAACATAGTCCAGGAATCCCTTGCTCTCTAACTGTGGCAGCCACAGTAAACCCCTTAGCCTTGGAGTGAATAAAGAAGCTGGAATCCCAGACACCCACAATCCTAGCTGAAATCCAGAACACTGACCTGAAATAAACTGTCATTTGTACTTGAAAGAAGCCAGTGTTGCTGCAGAGGAATAAAGCAAGCTTCCACAAAACAAAGGAAGCCCCTTTCTGCTAATCCCTTAAATTTTACCTGCTCAAGGTAAACTTTCCTTCCTCAGCCTTAACCACAACAAAGACACTACGGTTGTCTCTAATTCCTCACATTAACCCTGACCCTAATTTGTTTCATGATCCCCAGTACTGGCTCTGACGTTTATCCCTTTCCAAGCAGACCTCCAGATCTAATTTCTACCTTCAACGACACACTTCCTCACTTTAAATGATGAGCCATAAGCCTAAAGCCCATTTTTAACTTGATTCTTAAAAACATTTTTCCAGTTTTTGCTTAATACTGACTGTCACAAGTCTTTAATCCCTAAAATGGAACTAATTCATGTTGTTGACTCTTAACCTGATCCTGTTTTGACTTTTGCTGTACATTCCAGCAAACAAAATAGTGACCTTAACCTCAACCTCACCCAACAAAACGGATCCAACTCAGATGAATAACTTTAACTTCAGCCCAGAGGGCTCTCAACTTCTAAAGTGACCTCTGACTTCAATTCCAAAGTCACCCAAAACTTTCCTACCCACTCACCCACTATCAGCTAACACCAAAGCCCATTCCCGCCCTGCGCCTCACTACCACCCCATTTCTCGTCCGCCCCAAAAACTATCCCAGCGGAGGACTGCTCCCCGGAAGGGAGGAGGGGTGTCTCCCACAAGACGGTCTACTTAACTCAGAGGCCAAGCCGAGACAGACTGGACGCTGACCTCTCTAACAGGACTCAAACAGAACCAGCAGGAGAATCGGGGCTCCGCCCGCCTCCCGCCTCCACGGGCCAGGCCCCGCGGCCCCACCCCAAAGCTCCAGCCCGACCCGGTCCGGCCTACCTGGTTGCCGGGCTGTGCCCCGCCCGCTGGCCCTCTAACCAGCTCCTTCCCCGGGTAGCTCGCGAGCTCCGGCCTCGCCCTATCTTCTACTCTCCGCCACTTCCGTCCCGGGAACGTCCCCCACCCGCTAGCAGCGTCCTGGGACCGTGCTCTATGATCGCGGGGTTGCAGGAAGCTGCTCTGGCCCCGGCTCTCGATGCTCGGGAGCCCGCCGAAGATATGCAGCTCCACCCCGGCAGGAAGCAAGGGTGCGGCGCAATCCAGAGAAAACGACAGAACTACGCCCGAGTTCCCTTTTAAACTGTATTTCTTCCTTTTTCTAGCTTGGGGCGAAGGCGGAGCCGGATCCCCAGAATCCCCGCCCTCAGGTTATGAGGAGGCAGCCGGGACATCCCCGTAATTTGCATAACCCCCGGGACGTGGCGCGGCGACCTGGCCACTTCCGAGGCGGGGGAACTCCAAGTCCCAAAATGCCACGAGACTGCATACGTCACTTCCGTTGTGTTGGAGGCGCCTGACAAGTGTGAGCGACGGCTGGCCCTTAGGCTCTCAGGGTGAGAGGGGCCGGCCTGAGCGTTGCGGAGGCCGACTGTTAGACTGGGGCTTGTGTTTGTGGCAAGGAGCTTGAGCCGCACAAAACAGTGAACTCGTGAGTTACAGCCCGTCCGTTCTGTAATGTCACAAATGGAGCTGGCGTTGGACCCTGGTGACCAGGACTTGTTGGGTTTCCTGCTAGAGGAAAGCGGACTTTTGGGGGGTGCGCCCGCTGAGGCCCAGGAGGCTCCGCTGGACTGGGAGCTGCCGCCCTCCGAGGTAGGGAGGGGTCTGAGTGGCGAAGCCCAAGTCCGTGGGTCCGGAAAGGTGGGGAAGAGTCTAGGTCTTTAAATTTGTTGGAACTTCGTGCAGGAACTGAGCGACTGGGAGGTACAGGATTTGCTGAACTTGTTGAGTCCCCCACCATCACTGGATGTTGTTGACTCTAACGTCTGTCCTGTCCACCACGATCACACCTACACTCTCCCACAGGAACATGTCTCCATAGATTTAGGTGAGTATGAAATAGACAAGTATGGGGAGCAAAGGGCCTATGGGACTGGCTTGTCCTGCTTTCCCTTTTGCAGTTAGTGGGAGCTGTGGCGAGGAGAGGGCCCACATGACTCCACCTCATTTGGAAGAGCCAGCAGAGCAGGTACTTGACTTGATTTTTCAGGATTATTTCATCATTGCCCCAGTATGGCTGAAATCCCCAGTTCCTCTCTAACATCCCGGTGCTGCTTCCTGTTAACCCCAGGAGACTGCCAAGCTGTTGCTGACTGAGGAGGAGGAGAAGCTATTGGAGAAGGAGGGGCTTGCTCTGTCTGGAACACTTCCTCTTACTAAGGTTAGGCATCACTGGTGGAGTAAAGCCTGGAGGGAGACTGAGTCCCAAGTAGGCAAATTCTTTTCACTTTATATCACTATCTTAGGGGGGAAAAGACTGGAATAAGAATCTTAGTAAACGTGTTGCTAGTAGGAAACTGGTACAGGTCCTGATGCTGTGGGGTTTGTATAAATTTTGGTGTTCTTTTTTGGAAAAAGATTTTAAACTTACCTGTGCAATACTGGTATAGGGTCTTGACACTTAAGATTTCATTGATTTCATGATAATCGACCTCTTTCTCAATGGTAAAAGTGTTGAGAGTTCAGCAAGGGTGGATCAAACAATATATAGTAACATGAATAAAGATAAAAATCCCAGGTTTTAAGTTTCCTGTAATATATGGGCTCAGCAGATTAAAGCACCTGCAAGCAGGCGCAGGGGCAAGGGGTTCAATCCCTAGGCCTGCTGTGCAGGCCCCACCCCTGGGCCAAACTAAGAGGGCAATTAAGACTGGGCTAAGATGGGGCGTAGTGGCGTGCGCCTGTAATCCCAGCTCTTGGGAAGCTGTAAAACAGGTGGATCACTACAAGTCCGATCTAGTAATGGGACCCTGAACACCCTGTAGACCTTTCCCTAAAAAATACAAAAAAAAAAAAAAAAAAAAAAAACCCAAAAACAAAAAAACCCTAAAATTGTTTCCTGTGATGAATGGCAACTTCACAGGCACAGGATTGTGATACTATGATGAAATAACCAGAAAGTTCAGGAAAATTTTTAATTTCTTGAAAGTGTGAGCCACTTTGTGATGGTGTATGCCTGTAATTCCAGCATTTCAAGAGGGTGAGGCAGAATGACAAGTTCAGGATCAGCCCAGGCAACTTACATGCTGTCTCAAAAAATGAAAGGGGCTGGGAATGTAGCTCAACGTGAATGCCCCGAGTTCAATCTCCAGTATTATAAAATACAAAAAGGAGGGCAGTGGCATAGTGGTAGAGTATTTGCCTAGCACGCATGATGTCCTGGGCCTAATCCTTGCAGTATAGTTAAAAAAAATACAAGTTGAGCCAGCAATATGATGTTACTAGTACCGTAAATGGGATTTAGAAGCACTTGTCAAGAGGCACTGCTTGAGTGTTGCGTGCCTCTACACTGGCCAGAGCACATCATTGACACAGTCAATCCTGAGGTTAGGAGCTATGTTAAGTGTCCAGGTTTTAGTCCTTTTTAAATTCTGAAGGCTGACCAGACATGATAGTTTATGAGCTACATAGTGAAACCCTGTCCCAAAAAATTCTGAGGAAATGTTTTTTTTAAGAAGTACTTTAAAATAGCTAAGCAAGGTTCTGTATAGCTCCAGAGATTCTAGAGAAGTCTAGTGGATATGAAGCTGATATTGGTTCATGATAAGGGAGTTGTTTTGTGTTTTTTTTTTTTTTCTCCGAATGCCTTCAGGGCAGGTTTGGCTGGCTTGAGTTGTGGGGATCGAACCACAGCAACCTGAGCCTGACTGCTTTGTTGAAGCAGCCACTTAAAGAACTGAGCTAAGGGGCAGGCTCCCAAGGGAGTTTTTTTATTACTGTCGATGAAATTGTTGAAAATGGTCTGGTTTGTCAGAAGCTGAATGCCTATTGGGAAGGGAAGCTGTAAAAATTAGTCGAATGTTGGAAATGGACTTAATTGCCTTCATTCCTAGTACCATTTTCTCTATCTTCTCTCAGATGGAGGAACAAATTCTGAAACGAGTGCGGAGAAAGATTCGAAACAAGAAGTCTGCTCAAGAGAGCCGAAGGAAGAAGAAGGTGTATTTAGGGGGGTTAGAAAACAGGTATGAAGGGGAGAGAAAACAAAAACTAGTTTAAGGTATTGCAATTTTTAATTTTAAGTTTTTTTTAAAGTGTTAAATTTTTGGAGGAGGATACAGCTCATATCCTATTGTCCCCAGGGTTTTGAAATATACAGCCCAGAACCTGGAGCTACAGAATAAAGTGCAGCTTCTGGAGGAAGAGAATCTGTAAGGAACCCTCCAAATCACTCTTCTCCCCCATTTAATGTTTTCCCACTTGCTTTCAAATGGGGCAGGTGCTTAGACTTTACTGAGTATGTGATTCTCAAAGCTTACAGTTAGATTTGTAAGGCATTAAGTACTCAGAAAGAGGAAAGGGAAGCGACACCTCATGGGACAGGCAGGATCTAAGAGCAGGAAGGATTCTGAGGCTGGCACAGGTGGGAAGAGTGTTCTTGGGTAGTGAGGACAGTTGAGTCTAGCTAACACAGGCAAACTGGGAAGAAGGCAGAGAACACAATGTCTGGTGAAGATTGTGTACAGCAGATCAGCCAATAGAGAACTACTGAAGGTATCTGCACAAGTTTTTTTTTAAGACAGGGCAGAGAAGTTTGTTTTAATTAGAGATTTCAGGCATTTTGTCCACATGGAGAACATCATTTGCAAAAGTAAGATAAGAAGGTTGTAGGACATGGAGGATGTGGCCATAACAGGGTTTCAGTGGGGCTCAGGAGCTGAGTCAGGGGTGCTCACTGGTGTTCCCTCTTCCCCAGGTCCCTCCTCGATCAGCTGAGGAAACTCCAGGCCATGTTAGTTGAGGTATCAAACAAAACCACCAGCAGCAGCACTTGTATTTTGGTGAGAATGGTGATGGGAAAACATCCTTTGCTCCAGTGGCAGGGCCAGCAGAGGTATAATCCAGAGCTTTGCATCTTTTTTTTTGTTTTGTACTCTAGGTCCTATTCTTCTCTTTCTGCCTCCTCTTTGTACCTGCTATGTACTCCTCTGACACAAGGGGCAGCCTGCCAGCTGAGGATGTTGGTAAGAGGCTTGAGGACAGCTAAGGTGTGGGCTGGGGGAAGAGGCCTGGGTTGTTGGCTCCTGACAATTGCTTGTCTCCGCAGTGTTGTCCCGCCAGCTTCGTTCCCTCCCCATGGAGGACCCTCTCCAGCGAGAGCTGCCTGCTCTGAAGTCAGAGGTATCAAAGGACAGCATAAGTCAGTTGCTGGACAGTTCAGACCATGTGCTCCGGGCCCCTGGCAACTGTTCCTGCCTGTTGTACCACATACCTTCCCAGCAGTGCCCATGCCTTGACCTCTTCTTAAAGCCCTGCTGCCCAGGTCCCATGTTTCACCTGCAGGCAAATCTCACAAGAAAGGAGAAATGGCTCCCTAACCACAGCTCTTCATCTGTCATCTTGCAGGGGAGATACTCAGGTTAGACATGAGGCTATAGGGTATCTCAGTCATAGCCTAAATGCCCCTCCTACTGTGTCCAAACAGAAGGGAGTAGGACAGGGCTGGCCTTTATACCCGTGCCATTAGGATGCCTGAGGGCTCAAACATATATGTACTGGCTTTGTGGGTCTTTTCTGTGTACTCATGTGTTTCTAATGTCCCATGAATGGGTCTGAGGAAATCAACTGACCTATATTTCATACAGTGAGGGAAGGGGTAAGGAAAGAAATAAATAAGTGATTTTAATGCTTGCTTCACCCTCATCCCTTCTTTACTGGCACAGCTGGGTGGGGAGAAGGGAAGGAGCATGATTGTCCTGGTGGCTCAGGCTGCAGGAGGTGGGGTAAGGAGCAAAGACCAGGCTAGAGGTTGGGCTCCCAGGATTGGAGACCTCACTCTGGTCTTAAGTTTGCCAAGGCTTCCTTTGGTCCACATTTAGGCCCTGTGATTAGTCCTGTGCAACTGTCAGCGGGGAGGCTTTTTTATGCTGTTGCTGTTGCAGGGCCAGCTGCATGGCCCAGATGCTCAGTGGTCGCATGTAGGCCAGTGAACGGAACACCCGCTGCTGGCAGTATGCCTCTGGGGTCTGGAAAGCCAGGCCAAGGCGCTCCCACACAGTACGATAGCAGCCTTCAGCTGTCCGGAAGCCCTCCCAAGTCAGGCCCTGTAGGGAGAGATGGAAGTCATACATGTAACTTGGCACTGCTTTAGCTGGGCAGGTGAAACAGATTTTTTGTCCTCAGGGAGCTCACAGCTGTCCGGGGAGATAAACCTGACCCAGTCAAAAACCTGAAGGTAGAAGGTAGAATGCAGACCAGGGCAAAGGGGAGGTTATATGGATGGATAAGATGGCCTTGGGTTATGCCTTGAAGAAATATGGTAGGTGAGGAAGCTTTCTGGGCCACAGTGCAGATGGGGGAAAGATGGGGGAAATAGTGTATTCATTACCTCTTGGATCATGGTGGCTGCCAGCCCATAGACCACACCCACCCAGACTTCATCAGACTGCACACTGGATCTATCAGGGACACCATGGGGCTGCATTCCATTCACAGCCCCCATGGCCCCTCCTGCAAAGGACTGGACATTGAGCTCGAAGATAGTCTGGAGAGCACGGACCACGTGTGTGGTAGGAAATACCTGCAGGGGCAAAGGCAAAGGCAGGGACATGGTCTCTTATACTTGCTTCTTATCTCTGGAGAAAACTCACCTTTCTGGCTCCCTTTTCCTAGTCTCTCACCTCAGTGTCTCCTTCTCCTAGGCCACACGCCTTCAAGAACCACTGTCCAGCACACTGGTCAGACATGACACTTTGAGACTGAGGCTGAGAGCTGCTATCATAGTTGTAATAGCGGCCTAGAGTACAGGAAGGGCAAAGTAAGGCTCCCACCAGTATTCCCGCAGCCACCTCGACTCCTCAGGTTCTAGCTCACCATTCCACAGCAGTCTCTCATAGGCTTCCTGGCCCCGGCTGAGGATGGAAGAAAACTTATCCTGGACATCCTTTGCCCCACACAGAACAGCCATCTGGACCATCACAGCCACAGCTGCCAGCCACAGCCCTCCACAGTAAGCACTGATGAGGGACAGGGGAGGTCAGACTGGCAGTTTTAGCCATTCTTATGCAATCTAACAAATAATGCATCATTCTTTCTTGAGCTCTACCATTGTTGGATACCCAGACCTCCAGGAAACCCCTACCCCCCCAACCTGGGGCCTGTGGCGACCCATCCATCATAGGTCTGGTCTGCATAGCCACCATTCTCAATGAGTCCATCATGGTCCTTATCAAACTTCATTTCAGATTCCATCACAGCCTAGAGGAAACAGAGATACCAGAGATGTAGGAACTAAGGAAAGAACAGTGGGGCTCTCCCCAGACACCGGTCATGTCCCTGGCATACTGGCCACCGCTTGTGTATTCCTTACTAGACACACAGGCCACATGTCCTTCAGGAAGTCTTGGTCGCCTGTCAAGTAATAATCTCGATAAACTTGCAGCACAAACTTCAGGTTCAGGTCCTTCCAGTCAGCAGTATCATGGATCAAATACGCATTGACCCGCAGCCACGGCTCATCATCTGTGGGAGGGGAGGGGACCTGGTTCATTTGCATTGGTGGGCAGGGTACAGGTATAAAAGTTGAAAGAGGGGAGCAGACTATGGGATGGAAGGATTGTTACCTGGATCTCCAATGTCATGGGGAATGACATTTCTCCTTTTCACAGGTCCCATTACCCCACTCATGAGGTATCGTCGCCGTGTCAGGTCCTCCCTGAGAGTTGCAAGAGCTGGAGAACAGACACAAATATGGGTAGGGAATGGGCAGGCTTGGGTGGGGCTCTGTGTGTGACTGAGAGGGGAACCAGCAAACAGGATGCAGGTACTCCACAAAGGTGGAGTGACATGGGGAGCCATCAGGGAAGAAGCAACAAAACTTTCTCTCACCCATGTCATATTGTAGGCTGAGCTCAATTTTGGGCCAAAGCATAATGAGGGCAAATGAAGCATAAAAGTGGACATCATATGTGTTGTACATGCGATACTCTTGGCCTAGAGGAATGAAGAAGACACTGTTGCCAGAATTCCTGCTTCCCCTTCACAGTCCCCTCCCTTGCTTGTCCTTTAAAGTTGAAGGTAAGGTCCTGTCATCTGCCTATTTGACACCCTTTCATCCCACCAGTACCCTGGAGTAGGTAAAACCTATCATCTTGAGTTATGGTAGGGCATTAGGAAGGATAGGTCCTGCTATACCCCAACCCACTAATAGCCCTTACCCTCAAGATAGCCAAATCGACCATATTCCTGAAGGATGGGGCGAAGCTGACCCATGCCCCCTGGCAGCTCCTCTGGTAGGGAGTCTTCAGGAACTTCAAGCCACACTGTGCCTCCATCGGCCAGGAAGTATAGTTCATTAAACAGTGCAGATTTGTACCAGGCAGGTAAGGATCTGGAAAATTAGGAGGAGGGAATGTTTTCATAAATGTGGACTTTTCAGGACAGAAAGGATTGTGGGGGGTCAGTGGTGGGGAAGTACCAAGTGAATCCCAGCACAGCTCTACTGACTTTGGTGGTACACAATTAGTCTGATTCAGAGTCTGAGTGCCCAGGAGAAATGTAAGGGGGGGCTGCACTGGTACCTGTCATCTAATACAGGGGTCTGCCACGCTGAGATCTTGTCTTCCCAGTCTGCATATCGGCACAATGCGTAGTGGCTAAGGGCAGGAGCTGCATCACCATCTGGGCCAAAGAACCTTGTGTACCTCCTGGGGTAGAAAGGAAAGGGATAAGGACCCAATGTCCAGGTCAGAGTCCCAGTGTTTCGGGTCCCTATATTTCTTGGTCCCCTTACCTGTAGTGGACTTGACCCTTAGCTCCAAACATGATTCTGGGCATGTCCCAAGCCAGTGAAAATTCTAGGCAGCACCGGCCTCGAGGTGGAAGCTTGCCTGAAACACACAGAGCCCCAGCGATGCCTGCTCCTTTATGTGAGGGGTTGCTTCGGCCTGAGAAGCACAAAAGGAATTAACATAGCCATATTCTTCAGCCCCAGAGCTAAGAATCCTTACCATGAGAATAAAGCCTATTCAATACCAGGTCTCCAACCCCCAAGACAGCCTTTCTTCCCAACATCTCCCAGTCAGACCCCCCCCACATCACCAGCAGGGGAGTCCAGCTGTCCATCCTGAAGTAGGTCCTGCCACACCTGCTTCCCAGTGCTGTCAGGATCAAAGGCTGTGATGTGGGTTACTGTAGTACCCTCCTGTTATGGGACCAAAGACTCAGTAAGGCAAGCTCCAAGAGAATACTGAATTCCAGCTAGCTCTTCAGCTCTTACACACCCTCGCCTCCAAGTTTCAGAGGGTAAAGGTCTGTGATGAGAGTGGGACTTGGGGGTGATGGGACGGAAACGAATGTGGGGTGGTGGATGTGGGGTCAGGCTGAGGGGAGGGGCTCAAGAGCTAAGATATAGGGCAGACTCTTTCATTACCGTGAGTCGTGCAGCCACAGCCATGGTGTAGGGATTTGGAAGGGTTGGATGATGCAGCAGCAGCCCCTGAACAGTTTCCCCGTCCCGCTCCAGACAGAAGGGCTCATTCCACAAACCCCCTAGAGCATCATCTTCACCTCCCAGGCCATTCCGCATGGAGAACATGATGGACACATCCACAGCTTCATCCCCTTCATTTTCTACATCCCACACAAAGACTCCTACAGGCAGGCTGCTGTCCTGGGGGCAAAAGAGTAGACTCATGATTTCAATATAGTCTCCTGGCTACCTCCCCAGGCTTAGCCCTGGGTACAGAGGACCTGTTTCAAATACTCTCCAGTATATTCTCTTTTACTTAACATCTCCCCACATTCCCCAGAAAACTGCCTAGCAGAGGATATAGAAGACTAGAATGAATCAGGCAGTGGTTTTGGGAAGCCAGTGTAATGTTCATTGCTCCAGCCCCTCCCTTTCACAATTCCTGCATTTGAAGGAATGCAGGAAATAAATGGGAACCTCACCTGATAGTCATGGGGCAAGATGGGTGTGATTTGGCGACAAGTAAGGGTGACGTTCTGGCCTGGAAGCTGATAGACAGTCCAGGCGCGGGGATACAGTGCATGGTAGAAGGCAAAGTACCCACACAGGCCCCAGTTCCAGCTGCGCAGGACACTTGGACGCTCCGTGGACAGAACTTGCTGGTACACAGTCCGTCCCTCCCGACGCAAGCACACTGTGAACTGGATCAAGAGAGCAAACAGGCTGGATCGAAGTAACCAGCAGCACTATACAGTTTTCCCTCTACTCAGAACAGCTTCTCTTCTTTCAGAGTCTGACTGTCACTACTACACCACTAGCCTCAGGTCATCCTCTAGGCTTTCAGTTAGGCTTAGCAAGTAACCACCAAGTCCTGCTGCCTTTCCTACTGTTGAGCACTTGCCTAGCATATCTGAAGCCCTAGACTCAATCCCCAGCACAAAACCAAAACCTCCAAAACAGTTAATAGCTCTTCCCTTGATTCAAACTAGGCCTAGTGTTTTCACTGTCTATAAAATGACTTTTCTTGTTGGAATAATACATAACAGTCAAGGTCATGACTTCTTTACTATAGAGAGAACTGTTTCTGAATCTCAAACTTTAAACAATCATATAACCTTGAGTATATTACTAAGTAATCCTCTCTGGATCTTAATGTTTGCATTTTTTTTCTCTTTTTGCGGTATCAGAGATTGAACTCAGGACTTCGTGCTTGCCAGGCAGGCACTTA